CTCCCATGGACACCTGCACATGTACGCACACACACACACACACACACACACACAAGTCTAAACAGTAAAAAGACTTTAACAGAGCTAACAGATCTCTCCCAATTCTAGATTGCCTGCTTTTATTATGTTGTCTGGTTGATACTTCAAACTTAAATGCCTAAAATTAGATTCCTGATTTCCCCCACACAAACCATAAAACTTGCTTCTCCTATAATCAGTCTTCAATATATTCATGATAGGAACTCCATCCCTCTAATTATTCATGCTATAAAACCATTACCTTTGGCTTTTCCCTTCACTTCATATCCATGCCTCAAAAATATTCAACATTGTACTATTTATTTTTATTTTGTGTGTATGTGTGTATTGCTTGCATATACACCCATACTTGCTTGCATGTGCACCCATGTTGTGCAATGCCTGAGAGGACAGAAGAGGGCGTCATATTTCCTGGAACTGGACTTACACGAATGGTTGTTAGCTGCCATGTGGGTGCTGGGAATCAAACCCAGATCCTTTGTAAAAGCAGCCAGTGCTCTTAACCACTGAGCCATCTCTCCAGTCCCACCCTCATGAACTTTTGATGGGAATGTAAAATGTTGTAGCTGCTTTAGACTGACATTTCCTCAAACAAATAAACATTGAATTACCATGGGTGCCAGGAATTCTAGCTATAGACCAAACAGAAATGAAAACTCCGTTTGCACGAAAATATAAGTACAATTTTTTTTGCAGTTTTATTCATAAAGCCAAAAATGGCAACAACTGAAATATGTCTGTCTACTTGGATTGGGTGGACAAAATGTGGTATTTCCATACGATGAAGTATTATTTAGCAATTAAATATTTTACTGATTTAAGCTACAACATGGGTGAACCTTGATAATATAACTGAAAGAAGTCAGTCACAAAGGATCACATATGATTATGTTTATATGAAATGTACAGACTACTAAAGAGGCAGAAAGTAAATTAGTGGTTACCAGGGATTGAGGGGAAGAATGGGGGTATGAGATCTTTTTTTTCCAATGGTGTCTTGATTTTTTAATTTTTAAAAAATTTTGTGTGTATGTATATTGCTTGCATGTGTTTAAGAACACCCGTGTCATGCAATGCCTGTGGAGGTCAGAAGAGGGCATCAGATCTCCTGAAACTGGAGCTACAGATGGTTGTTAGCTGCCATGTGGGTGCTGGGAATTGAACCCAGGTCTTCTGCAAGAGTAGTTGGTGCTCTTAACCGCTGAGCCATCTCTCCAGCCCCCAGATCTTTATGGAGTGATCATTATACAACTCTGATCATTCAAAAATTACTGAATTATACATTTTTAAATGGGTGAAGTGTATGATACTTAAATTATATCTCAATGTTTAAAAGCAGTTTTAAAAATTGTTTTCTTACTATTACTGTATATTCTTGTTGTTAGTACCAATTTTCAATTTCACATTCAAGCACCATATATATAATATACTTGTCCATTTATCCCTCTAAAATGTAAATTCCAGCTGGGGTTTCACTGAGTGGTTGATTGGGCTGGCATACACAAGGCCCTCATTTCAGTCCTAAGCACAAGGAAAATTACACACATACACATTATATGTAAATTTTACATATATAATATCTAATTTTGTTTCATGTAACCCAGTTTGGCATTGAACTTGCTATTTAGCCAAATCTGGGCTTGAACTCCTGATCCTTGTTTCCACCTTCTGAGTGCTGGAATTACAGGCATGCACTACCACACCTAGTATGGGTTTGTTCTTTGTTTTTTTTTGTCTGTTTTGAGACAGTCTTATTTTAGTCCAGGCTTGTCTCAAACATGCTATGTAGTCAAAGCTGGCCTGGAATTCCTGCTCCTCTTGCCTCCATCTTTTTATCTTTTTTAATTTTTCTTTTTCTTTTTTTGGTCTTTTTGAGACAGGGTCTCCCTACAGCCCCAGCTGTCCTGGAACTTGCTATGTAGACCAGGCTGGCCTCGAACTCACAGATCCACCTGTCTCTGCCTCCCAAGTGCTAGGATTAAAGGCATGTGCCACCATGCCCAGCTAGCTTTTTAATTTTTTAAAATTTATTTTTATGTATGAGCAACTATGAGTGTGTTACCTGTGTGTATATATGTGCTTTTGTGTCACACAATGCCTGCAGAGGTAAGAAGAGGGCATCAGATCCTCTGGAACTGAAGTTACATACAGATGGTTGCTAGCCTCTATCTGGATGCTGGCAGTGGAACCCAGGTCCTCTGCAAGAGCAGCCAATGATCTTAACTGCTGGATCATCTGACCAGCCCATAATTTTTAAAAAATATATTTATTTTATGTGGATGAGTATTTTGCATACGTGTATGTGCTCTTGTGTCATGCAATGCCCATGAAGGCCAGAAGAGGGCGATGGATCCCTTGGAACCAGAGTTATCGACAGTTATGAGACACCATGTGGGTGCTGGGAACCGAACCCAGGTCCTCTGCAAGAGCAGCCAGTGTTCTTAACTTCTGAGCCATCATCTCTCCAGCTCAAAATTTTGGTTTTTTGAGACAAGGTGTTTATGTTGCCCACAGTGAGTTAAAAGGATCTTCCTGCCTCAGCCAAATTGTGGTGTGTGTGTAAGTTCCAAGAAGGCAGGGTTTTCATTGCTTAGCACATAGTACATATTCAATAAGTATTTGTTGACTGATAGAATCAATGGAACTTAACACATCCAATTCTTTATACCTTATTACCCATGAAGTAGAAAAAAAAAAAAAAAAAAACCCTAATAATTCCCTGAGTTCACTTTGCAATACTCTACTCCAGGGAAGCTAGATGAGCTGTTTTTTCACTGTTAAAACTGCACATTTGAATCTATGCTATCTTATGTACTTGTACTCTGGTCCAGATGCCACAGTGTCAGGTACTTCTCTGTTAGCTACTACTTGATTTCAGGTTAGGAATTTAGAAAGCAATGCATTAAAATGGTGGTTTGGGGCAAAATAATGATGGTATGCAAAAAACACCCTATGTTGAGAATAGGCTGGAAATTGCTAACCTTGCTATAGTTCAGGAAGCAAGGGTGTAAACTAGACAGCAGTGCTTCAAAAACAAAGTCAGTGTTAGAACTATTACAAAGTTCTAATTGCTATTGGTACTAAGTTGGCTGCAGGGTATGTGAAGAGAGAATTGTTAGTTTCAGATCTATATAACAGGAAAAAATGATGGATCCTATAATGAAATAAATAGAATTAGCCAGGCGTGGTGGCACACGCCTTTATTCCCAGCACTCTGGAGGCAAAGGCACATGGATCTCTGTGAGTTCAAGGCCAGCCTGGTCTACATAGTGAGTTCCAGGCCAGCTGGGTAGCCCCAGGGGACCCTGTCTCAAAAAGACCAAAGGGGGAAAAAAAAAGAATCAAACTAGTTTATTTAGAAGACAAGGCCTTTGGTATTTAAACAGAAATATAAGGTAATAACTACATAATTAGTCAACTATGGTGAATCATCACACATAAGTGCTGCTTAGGCTTAGTAGATCAACGATTAAGTGGTACCTTCAATATTTTTTTGTTTTGTTTTGTTTTTGAGACAAGGTCTTCCTGTAACCCCAACTGGCCTGAAACTTGCTATGTAAACCAGGCTGGCCTTGAACTCAGAGATCTGCCTGCCTCTGCTTCCCCAGTAAGTTTTTTGTTTTGTTTTGTTTTTTTAACCATATCCCTTGATATATTCCAAATATTTTAAGATTAGCCTAACATAGTTAAGAGCCTCATTTTTTTAACCTAATACATTCCAAAATTAGGAATTATGTAATTTTGACTATATTATCTTTCATAAACTTAGAAACATTAAGAATTTAAAATTTAAATACCCTGACAATCTATAAGGTTGCTTTGGTTCTGTTATCTGTTTTAAATAAATTAAGCACTATGTCAATTATTAATGATCCGGACAATCATCACCTGTTATCAAAATATTGCCTCAGCTATAGAAGTTTTTATTTGTTTGAAATTTTATTTTTAAAATTTTAAGTATGGGTTTGTGCACACTTGTACAGGTGCCTGTGGAAGCCAGAAAAGGATGTTAGATTCTAGAGCTAGCCCTGGAGCTAGAATTACAGGTAGCCATGAGCTGCCAGGCATCAGTGCTGGGAACTGAACTCGGGTCCTCTGGAGTGCTCTTAACTGCTGAGTCATCTCTCCAGCCCATTTGGTTTTTTGTTTTGTTTTTTGACGGTCTCATTATGTTGCCTTGGCTGGCCTGGAACTTCCTTTGTAGACCAAGCTGCCTTGAACTCACAGATACCCACCTCCCTCTGACACCTGAGTATTGGGCCACAATGCCTGGCTTTTTTCTTTTTTTTAATGTAATTCAGTTTTTTAAATCTCAGATTTAGAAAAAGCTGCTCTTGAGCCTGGAGAGATGGCTCAACAGTTAAGAGCACTGTCTGCTCTTGCAGAGGACCTAGGTTCAGTTCCCAGCACTTTAAAGGCAGCTAACAATCATCTATAACTCCAGTTTCAGGGGATCCAATGCCTTCTTCTGGCCTCCGTGGGCACTGGATGACATAGGTCTGTTTACATACATGCAGGCAAAACAGTCATACATGAAATAAATCAAAAACTTTTTAAAGAAGAAAAAGCTGCTCTTGAGTTACAATTTTATTTTTTCGAGACAGGGTCTTAACATGTAACCATGGCTGGCCTGGAATGTGCTGTGTTGAACAGACTGGCCTCACTCAGAGATTTGCCTGCCTCTGCCTTCTGAATGTTGGGATTAAAGGCACGTGCCACCATGCCCTGCTTGAGTTACAGTTTTTGTACTCACTTTACTAAATTTTAAAATCTTATTAAAACTCTAAAAGTCTAGCTACACCTTTAATCCCAGCACTTGGGAGGCAGGGGCAGACCAGGCAATCTCTGTGAGCTCAAGGCTAGCCTGGTCTACGTGGGGAGTTCCAGGCCAACTGGGGCTATAGGGAGACCCTATCTCAAAAATCAACAACAAAAAACTAAAAGTCATCTTTTCATTATAGGTCATGGCCATTGCACCAACCCATTATATCTGGCAACGAGAACGCTCTGAGCATCATAGTGGAGCTGTCAGAAATTACAACAGAGATGAAGTTCATCTGCCCCGGGGACCTAGTGCTACACCAGTAGATTGTTCACTGTGTGGTAAAAAAGGAAGATATGTGAGATTGGGACTATCTTCATCATCTTCATCCAGTGATACACTAGAGCTAATGGAAAAGCATTCTCAGGAATCACACAATTCATAATCAATGGACATAATAGGTGATCCTTCTCAAGTTAATAGATATTCTCAAGGTATGATTTAATGGCAAAATAGAATTAGATTAATGCATATTTATTTAGTTCTAGTCAGACCTTACAGGCAGGAACATAAATTATATAACAGTGAGTTAAATTAGTATTGAAAATTTTCTCCCTTTCAGTCACTATTTTTGTCCTGTATCCATATGTACTTTGTGGCAGCCTACATACACTAAAGGACTTTACATGACATATTAAACGGCAACTTGTTACACCATGAGCTCCAAGTATTAGAACTTGAAGTGTTTTTTGAAATGTTTATTTAAAAAGGATTTCAAGAAAATAAATTTACTTGTAATCATCCAAATATTGGTTTCTTCTATATACTTTTCCATTGCTAACAAAATTAGACCATATGGTAGCCAGGCCATCTATTTTTTTTTAGCATAAAACATTTTCTTATGTTGTAGGACCCCCAGACTGGGGTACCCAACATCCACGGGAGGCTGCACCCCAATAACTCAGTTCTCAGACCAGGAGATGCAACAAGCAAGAGGATTTAATCGTTTGCGCAGACGAGGCTCCTGCCTCACTCAGAGAGAGAGAGAGAACAGCAGCCCCAAGCTCAGTTTACAGGCGATGTTTAAAGGCAGAAACCACAATCCACAACTGGCAGCAGTGGGAGGGGGCCGGCGGCAACCGGCAATAGGGGGCTGGGGGAAGTTTCGGGTGATGTCCGGCTTGTGTATGGAGCATGAAAAGGTCAGCTCTTTCTCAGCAGTTAGAATTATTTTACTTCTTACTTCCTTGTTCTGAATATTCTTCTTTGGTCTGGGGGACTTGGTTTGAATCCACTTTAACCTGGCAGGGGCTTTAGTTTAATTCCATCATATGTATTCCATGCTGGCCTCGAACTCACTGTTGAGCTGAGGATGTCCTTGAATTCCTGATTCTTCTGCCTCTTCCTATGGTGCTGAGATTGTAGGTATGTTCCACTGTGCTTGGTTTATTCAGTGCTGGGGATTGAACCCAGGGCTTTGTGTATGCTAGGAGTACTCTACCAACTGAGCTGCATCCCCAGCCACCCTCTCCCCTACCTTTGTTTTCCTCTTTGCATTCCTGACACCTAATATGATACCAGCAATAAGATGGGGTGACTGTTGTGTAAACTAATAAGCCAATTAAGATAAGAGTGTCACAGAATCAGGAGAATACAGAGCTTCGAGAAGGGGATGGTCAGCACCAAGAATCACAGAGAACTCAAGAAAAATAAGGATCAAAAGCCACAAATCCTCTTCTGATTTGTACTGGGAAGGTCAATTGTACACTTTGCTGTGACTTTTATTGGAGGGATGAAGACAGGTGAAAGCATGATTAAATTAATATCTGGCTGACTAATGACAGGCGAGGGAGGGAAGACAAGGTGGACTATTATTTGGGTAGCTTGGATATGCAAGAGGGTCATTGTTTAGTCTTTGAAAGCCTTACTGTGGCATGTTATGTGTCATAATTTACTTGTATATTTCATTTTTGTTGGGATTTACTTTTGGCCAATGATATATTAATTAGAAAATAACTATATTAACCAGAAACGCTATACTACAATTTTCAAATTATTTTTATATATGGTATTTCTGACACTTCTAAATTGAAACAGTACTAGAATAGTATTCTAGTGATCTTGTTTACTTATGTCTTAGATTTCCACCCATCTGAAGGACTGACAGATTTTTATTTATTTTTATTTATGGGTATGAGTGTATTGCCTGCACGTATGTAAGTGTACCTGTGTCATGCAATATCTTTGGAGACCAGAAGAGGGCGTCATATTCCCCTAGAACTGGAGTTATGGACAGCTGTTAGTTGCCATGTGGGTGCTAGGAATCAAACCCAGGTTCCTCTATAAGAGCAGCCAGTGCTCTTACCTGCTGAGTTAACTCTCAAGCCCCAGGACTGACAGATTACTTATAGTCCTGACTCTATCACAAGGAGTAAACAGACCTGTATCATTTCAGAAATTTTACCGATTTATTTTACCATGGTCCTATAAGAAGAACAGTGACTATTGAAGCTTTACTAAGGAGAAACTAGCTTCTAGACCCTTGAAAGTAAAGGTTGAGCCTTACATTCCTTGGATATAGTATTCATGTAACAAAAATTTTATTGGCAATATAGTTTCTTTTTTCATTTTATTTTTATTATTTGTATGAGTGTTTACCTGTATGTTAAGTACACCCGTGTGTACAATGCCCTCAGAGGCCAGAAGAGGCCGTTGGATCCCCTGGAACTGGAGTTACGGAAGTTAGCCACCATGCGGGTACTGAGAACTGAACCCTGATCCTCTGCAAGAGCAGTGTTCTTAACTGCTGAGTCATCTCTCCAACCCCTATTATAGTTTCTTACTTTTCAACATCTGTAAGCACACATTTTGTTGTACTCAATTTAACAGTACATAAGACTGACTGATCATAGGGACTGGAGACATGGCTCAGTGGTTAAGAGCACTGGCTGCTCTTCCAGAGGACCTAGGTTCACTTCCTAGCAGCTAACAGCCATCTGTAACTCCAGTTCCAGGGGATCCGATGCCCTCTTCTGACCTCCATTGGCACTGCATAGTACAGATGCACTTACATACATGCAGGCAAAACACTTTTTTTAAAATATTATTATTTTTATTTTATGTGTATGAGTGTATTGCCTGCATGTATGTGAGTGCACCCATGTCATGCAATGCTGTGGAGGCCAGAAGAGGGCTTCGGATTCCCCTGGAACTGGAGTTAAGGACGATTCGTAGCCGTAGGTGAGTGCTGGGAATTGAACCCAGGTCCTCTGCAAGAGCAGTCAGTGCTCTTAACCGCTGAGCCATCTCTTCAGCCCATAAACTCAGTTACAAAGAATTGCCTTTTATCATTCCTATCTCCTAGTTTCCTTTTACTTTTACATTCGTGGATCCTCATAATAGGTAAGATTTACTGGACACTTAACTGTCTCAGGCAATAGAGTAAGCACTTTAGATTCATACTATCAATCAATATTCACAACCAACATAAGGTTATTGTTATCTCCACTTGTCAAATAAGGAAACTAAGGCTTAGGTTAGTTTTCCCAAGGTTACTAGAGGAATATTTGAACACCAGTCTCTAACTTTAGACTGGAGGCTAAATTCTCAGCTGTTATACCCCAACTGCCCTTTTGATGAAATCCTGCTTTTAGCAATGAAAATAAGCTGTGACAAACCTTTGAGCCAACTGCCAAGGAAGAGGTGGAACCAATTGTCTTCTGAAAGGTTTATGGAGTTGAAGTAAATTTCAACAATTTGAACAGGTATCTAAAGAGAACAGAAAAGTAACTTCTATTTTATTTAGACTAGCCCCTGTAGATATTGTTAGTAGCCTACTCTATATTCTAGGTCTTGACATCCCAATAGGAAATTGGAGTGCATGTAGGAAGTAAGGTGCTCTGCCAATCAGTGCACTTGGGGTAGGGATGTGGCTCACTAGGTACAGATGCTTGCCACTAAACCTGATGATCTGAGTTCAGTTCCTGGGATTCATGTGGTGGAAACAGAACCAACTCCCTTAAGTTGTCCTCTGTCCATCACACGTGTACACACACAAAGGCATAATAATAAAAAAATTAAAAACACGTCCTATATAGGAAGGAACAAGTATTTAAATATTAGTTTTATTCTGAGTATTAGGATTAACTGTAAAATCTTTTGACAATGTCAGAGATTGAGCAATACAAAGAATATTGCTGGGCATGGTTGCACATGCCTTGTAATCCCAGCATACAGGACATTGAGACAAGAGGATTGCAAATTGGAGGCCACTTTGGACTACATGGCAAGATCCTCTAAAAAAAAGAACCCTGGTGATTGACTGACATAGATGATAGACAGACAGACAGACAGACAAAATATTGACCACATACACATTTGACTAGTAAAAATCTGCATTGTTTCTGGGCTTGAGGGAAGAAGTCAAGAGTAGAGTAGAGGGACTCAATCTTGCCAGGAGTATGGTCAGTCTCTCACTGCCTTAGCAGTTGCTCCTTCCCTATAGTGACCTCTATTAGCAATTTTTTTCCCTGCAGTCTGCATAAGGTTAGAGTCACCTGATGGTTTGTAGTTCTAGAAAACTCACACAAAGAGCGGATACTGGGTTCCAGGTTTTTATGCTAAAATGTTATAGTTATCAGTTCTTCCGCTTTTCAAACAAAGCAACTTCTTAATTTTCAGGTAAAAAACATGTTTTTCTACCTTTAAAGTTTTTATTTTTTAAATAACATGTTCAAGAGCTGGGCATGGTGGTACATGCCTTTAATCCCAGCACTCAGGAGCAGAGGCAGGCAGATCTCTGTGAGTTCAAAGCCAGCCTGGTCTACATAGTTCCAGGCCAGCTTGGGGCTACAGGGAGACCCTGTCTTGAGAAGACCAAAAAAATAATTAATTAAATAATAAATATGTTCAAAAGCAAATTTAGCATAAAAATGCTTGTGACATTTAAAAACAAAAAATGTTAGTGTGACAAGTACAGTGAAAAATCTTGTCAAAAATATTTCACTTGAGGGGGACAGATGAGGCATTCTTTAAAAATCCAGACATCAAAAAAATAAAGCCAGGAGTGGTGGTGCACCCCTTTAATCCCAGCACTCGGGAGGCAGAGGCAGGCAGATCTCTGAAAGTTCAAGGCCAGCCTGGTCTACATAGTGAGTTCCAGGACAGCTGGGGCTATAGGGAGACCCTGTCTCAAAAAGACCAAAAAAAAACAAAAAAATCCAGACATGCAGGCATGGTAGCACCCACCTTTAATTTCAGCACTCAGGAGGCAGAGACAGGTAAGTTCCAGGCCAGCTATGGCTACAGGGAGACCCTAGCTCAAAAAAACAAAACACAGAAAATAATGTGATAAAGGCTATGCTCTATGACTAACATTTAGGAGCACTAAAGACTCCAGAATTATAATCTTACCAGCAAGCAAGAGGCTAAGGGAAAGAGGATCACATGGGTTCTAGGCCAGCCTGGGCAACACAGTGAATTCCAGGACAGCCAGAGCTACAAGTGAGACCCTGTTTCCAAATAAATAATTACAGAATTAACTCTATTGAGAGAATTGGTAAAGGATTTTCAGAGATAGTAACATATGGTAGCATACGACCAGGGCATTGATTGTTATTTTGCTCATGCAGAACAAACAAATAAGGGAAAGAGTTGAACAGCAGACAAAAGTTAGAAAGTTTATAGATTAAAAAAGAAAAAATATGTAGATTA